ACTTTCTGGATCATCTCGAGCTCCTCGACCGAGCCACTATCGAAATGAAACTTGGAGGTCAGGCGAATATTGCGAATACCGGATGAGATCACGTTGACAGCGGGGCTGTCCTTCTTCTCGTCCAAGGGCACGAACTCGTTCTTGGCATAGATCTCACCAAGATGCGCGGTTATCGTATCGCGCGGATGGTTCTCCCTCATGGCACCTGGGAAGACCAAGATGGGAGTCATGACTACGACGTCGAACCTCATGCGTGACGCGTTCTCGCCAAGCTGATTGGCCTGGTTCGCCGCAGCTTGACGCGCAGCGTTGAAGATCGCTTGCATCTTGCCAAATTTAACCAGGAAATTGATGATTTTCCGGTAGGGTTCTTCCAAGAAGTTGATCTTGATGGACCCAGACCTTAGGAAGACCTCCGAGTCGTACCCAGGGTAAGTGGGAGATTCCGGGTCGAATGTCTCGTACTTGAAATCCGCGAAGTTATCACCCTCGATCGTCAAAAGCCTCCGCAGGTCCGAGGTTTCCGGCGCACCCGTGTTGACATCGTCTATCAAGGTCAAGCTGCCAATACGAGACTGGATGAGCATAGAATTACCGACCAGCACGATTCCCACATCAGCCGTGTTAAGCGTCAGCGTTGCCAATCTGACCCCGTCATTGTTGAGAATCAGAGCAATACTCTTCATGTCGGCCTTGATACGGATCTTTCCGCTCTGGTCGGGCTTCTGTTCGACAGCGGTAGTATCCTGTACAGCCCGATCCGACGAAGCACCCTGGTCACTCGGTTCGTCTGGGTTCGTGAAGGTGAGCAGGATAAAGTCCAGAAGCGTCAGAAGCGTCTTCCGGGTCACCACGAGGTTGATGGTTGACACGGATATATCCAAGTTCATCGCGACACCCTCGTAGGTAGAATGGAATTCTGGCGACTCTGGCTTGACTCGGACAAACTTGAGGTGGAATAGATCTCTTTCTTCATCCGCATTGAATCCTTTGGACGAAAGGATCCTCTTGAATTCGGGCACCGGATTCTCTTCTATGTAGTCGTCCACACTCAGAGACTTGAGAACGATTTCTGCTACCATATCGAAAGGTCGATTATAGTAGTCTAGCATGAACCCTTCGGCAACCAGTTCCACCAGCAGGTGGTCACGTAGCGGGTCGTTCGAGTCGGAGCGGAACAGCGAGCCACGGAGACGGCCGACGGTGAATTTGAATTCAAAATCCCGCCGGTGGAGGTTCGTTGAGTCAACACTCTGATTCGGTTGGTCTTTGTCCGAACTCTCCTCGTCTTCTGAGTCTTCGTCCACCGCGGGAAGTTCTCTGATGGCTAGCGGCACAAATGACGAGGACCGGGGCCTGTTAGCCGCGTCATCTTCGGGGGCGACCGCCGGGGCGTTTTGCTGGTCAGGGCCCTCCTCGTACTCCGGGAATGCAATGCCAATTAATTTCATGAGGCCTTTGTACTTCATGTCGGACATGGATGCATGTAACTCCGGGAGATGGCCGGATATGCGCGTTCTGGTAAGCTCGGTCACCTTGGGGACGATGCACATCTCCAGGACGAAATCCACGTTGATGCGGTCGATGATGTGTAGGTTGCGGTCTGCGCTGTCCGATGCCAGCTGAGATTTCGTGACGTCGATGCCAGGACCAATGAGGACCTGGGTCGAGTCCAGCTTGAGCAGGAATCTATCGTACAGCAGGTGTTCGAGCTCCTTGTAATCACCTTCGTCGTACTGCCGCTTCTGCTTGGACTGGATGTCTCTCATGGTCTGCCGGTCCACCAGTTCGCTGCTGACGCTGATATGACCGGCATCGAGGATCAGACAGAGAGAGCTTTCGTGCGTGATACTCTCGGGCACGATGATCAACGGAGCATGGATATCAAACTGCGCGTCCACCTTCTTATGTTCCTGCAGCGCAAACTCCAGGCCCGCACGAGTCTGCTGCCGGATCCCCTCCACCGTAGCCCCGGCGGTATCCAACAAGGCCCCGATGGATTCCATATGTGTCTCCGGGGGTTCGAAGAAGCGGATGATCTCGAAGATGAACTTGGGATTGTAGATCACTTCGATACTCTTGAGCTTGACCTTCACCACGGAGTCGGCGTCGCTTTCGAGGGGATTCTTCTCCAGCTGCAGATGGAACAAGCTATCCTCGTCCTCGAGGTAGTTGTCTCCGACTTCGGACTCCAGCTCCTCGTTGCCAGAGATCTGTGACAGGCGGTTCTTCGGTACCGGGAGCGAATCCTTTACTTTGACAATCTGCGGGAACAGACTACCTTCCGTAGTGCCATCATACACTCTCAGCCCTCCGAGACCCACGTCGATGAAGAATGAATCGGGCCGCTGCATAGCCTTGGCCCGCAAATCATCGAAGACAAGCTTCATGACCTCGTTGGCCTTGCCGTGGGGATCCCGCTTCAGGGTGAAGCTGCCGGCTTTGAGGCCGGAGTTGACCTGGAGCTTCACCCACTCTCTTGGAACGTCGACGCTCTCGGCGATGGCTTTCTTTTCATCCCAGTCAATCGCGTTGTATAACTCCTGTCGTTGCTCGTCGGTTATCGTGGTGTCTTCCGACTCCTCCTGCTTGGTACCCCAGATCCACTCGCCCCATGTCTGCTCGCGTTGGGGCTTCTTGACGCCGACGTTTTCCTTGCGCAATTGATTCCGCGCCAGCGATCGCCAGAACCGTATATCTTCGTAGTTGAGCTTCCGTTGCAGGCGGTCAAACTCATCCGCCTCGGCCGGGGATAAATACTCTTCGCGCTTCTTCTTCTTGAACAGGTCGATGTAGGCGATCCGATCGTCCCTGCGCTCTTTGATGTAAGCCCACGTCCACCGGCGGTTCCGGTCGCGGATCTTGCTGAGGACGGCCTCTCCGGCGAATCTAAACCACGCGCGCGGGGCCTCCTTGGGGCTGGATTTAGGTTGGAGTTTTTTGTATTCCTGGTGGCGGATGAAGTAGTGGAAGAGGTCGACGAGCATCAGGGCATCCCGGTACTGTTCGTCGTCCAACACGAACCCGAGCTCGTCGAAGAGCAGCCGTGTCTTGATGGCGGGGCGGTCGTGTTCTCCCGACTTGTCTAATTCCAAGCCGGCGCGTCCACTGACGGGACGCAGCATGAACTGGTGGTTTTCGTCCTCGTCGATGCCCGCCCTCAACCTCTCCACCAATTCGGCCTGGCTCGTGCCCTGAGCCACGGCACCCACGTCGGACCCGCGACCCGTACCCAACAGCTCCGCATCGGTGTTCCAATACACCGACAAGGCGCCCAGGATCGCCAGCTTATGTGTGGTGGCCGAGGTGGACTGGATGAAGGTAGGGTTCCACTCGGAGTCGGTGCTCACGGCACTGAGTTCCTTCAAGGTTACACCGGCGGCAAACGGGTGCCCCGGTGAGGCGAGGGAGTCTTCGTAGCGGAAATGGACGTTCTTGATGGAGATTTGGAGGTTATCGACGACGGCGGTCACCAGACTTTGGGTGAAACTCTGGTTCCGACGCTGCTCCTCTTGGCTCAGCCCCTCGGAATTGCGTTCCTTTAAAATCTCCGCGCTCTCAATCTTCTCCATCTTGAGCGCGTGGGCTCTTCGCTCCTCCTCGTCCGGATCGTAGTCGGCATCCTCCTTGGGCGCCGCGAGAAGAAACACATCTTCAATATCGACCTTGACCGGTTTCCCCCTCAGGTTGGACCAGGGGATCGACAGGGTGAGCTCTCCGAGATGGCCCTCAACAACGTTAAGCGGGAGTCGCAATTGATCGAGCGCCTCCCGCCGCAGCTCGAGATTCCGCAGTTTGACATCACCGGACCATATCCCGACATTCAACTGGGTCGCATCGAAGTTTTTGACGTAGATTCCGAGGGTCCGGTTCAGCAGGTTGGCGACCAGCCCTTCCAACATGATGGCGGGGTCTGGCTCACGCGCGGGGTGGTCGACAGCAAGGGTCTAGCAAAGGACGCCAGCCTAGTAGCACACGGTCAGTCCGCGAGATCAGGAGGGGTAGAAGCGAGGATCATCGATGGAATTAAACTAGACGAATGCTCCGGGGACGACGTACATGCGCAAGGTCTAGATCCACTCGCCGACGGTAGACACCAGATCCATGCAAGGGCGACCAAGCATGCACGCGATACCGATTGCGGGCCGGTCGATCTGGGAGGTAGACGGATCGCGACGGTGATTTCGGTCGGAAATTCACGGGGCGGGAAAGGAAAAAGAAAAGGGGAAAAAGTCGATGCGAAGGTAAAGCTTTATCCCTGAAGGTTCGGGGTATGATCGGAGAGTGGGAAACGGTGATGGCGATGAGGAGGGGAAGAGTTGGTTGGAAACTCCGTTGGGCTGGGTTTCCAGGTATGAGAGGAGGCCGGTCGACCAATTGTAACGAAAGCGGACCTCTAGAGTACGAATGTCAATACTGAGTATATCGTATACAACCGAAGAATAATTACCAACAGGGAAAAATCATTACCTCAAATCAGTTCGGCGTATAGAAGGGCGTATTGTTGTCGTGAGTCGTCCGTTGTATCCCAAACTCTGGGGAAGACCAACAAAAGGGGGGGGAGAGAGTGACGCGGTGGAGAAGAAAAGAGCAAGAGAAAGGTCGGAGTGACGTCGGTCGGGCTCTCTGTAATAACAGTATGGTACTTGCACCGTGTATGGGAGTCCCCTAGAAAGCCAAGGTACCTGCAGTCCAGCTAGGGCTGCAGCCCTTGTTGCTGAGTCAGCTATCAGCCTCGTGGGTTTCACACGTGATTGTACACTAGACCTAGTACTGTAATAGACTAACCAATACAGGACTAATGCAGCTGACTAACGCTAGCTCCCTGATGCTTCCGCTTTCGTCTCCGATCCGAGCTCGTGGGCAGCCTGAGGCCGTCCATCCCAAGTGGCCGCTGCGGTCCGCCCGACAAGTCAACCAGTCATCTCCATCATAATAATATCATCGTCGGTTCGAAACTTGAAAGCCTCCTTTCCCCTACCCCATAAATCTCCACTCCCACGAGTCCAACTCGAGCCAATTCCTGGGTGTATACCCTCGTCGTGCCCTTTGCGCCTACTCTCCACTCTTCCCAGTTCAATTGGGTTTGTTTTCCCCTCCATTGATCTCGTATCCGAGCTTTCCATGTGCCCGTTTGCTAATCCGGATGTCGGGGGATGTTAAAAAAAATTAGCTACACGCACACACACCTCAATCAACCATGTTGTACCGTACCACCGCTGCTCGCTCTGCCCTGCGGGCTCTCTCCCACACCAATGCCTCGGTCGCCCGCTCGACTCTGGTCGGCAACGTGTTCAAGGCCCCGTTGACGTCGGCTGCTCGCTCCGTCCGTCCCTCGCCCAGCTTCGCCCTGGCTGCTCGCAAGCCCGTCACCACGGCTCTGGTCCGCTATGCCTCGACTGGCAAGGTGAGGCTCGAGAAGGAAATCGCTTTTTTGTCGAGATCGATCGGACTAATGGTGTGTAGGAGGAAACGGTCGCCGAAAGTGATGATGATGTGATGGCTGGAATGAAGACCGAGGCGGTACGTCATCTTATGAAAGAGAGTTGTGAGAGTCGGTGCTCCGGTGACAGACTAACGGTCGGATAGAGAGTCATCAAGGACACCTTCAGCCTGGCAGAGGTCCCCAAGGAGGCCCTCTACCTCGGCATGGCCGGTGTGATCCCTTACCTGGCCACCTCGATGCAGACCGTCTACCTGTCCTATGAGGTCAACCGCGCCGCCGCTATGGGAGGCGATGGCCTCCTCCTCTCGGGCCAGAGTGCCGAGCTGATGCTGCACATGCTGGAGCCCATCCAGGTTGGCTACGGTGCCGTGGTGCGTACCCGTTCACCAAACCATGATCATATCAATACTAATACCACCGATTAGATCCTCTCCTTCCTCGGAGCCATCCACTGGGGTCTGGAGTGGGCCGGCTACGGCGGCAAGTACGGCTACAAGCGGTACGCTGCGGGCGTGATCGCCCCGGCGGTGGCATGGCCGACTCTGCTGTTCCCCGTGGAGTACGCTCTGATCAGCCAGTTCCTCGCGTTCACCTTCCTGTACTACAACGACGCCCGTGCGGCGCAGTTCGGCCGCGCCCCGCACTGGTACGGCATGTACCGCTTCGTGCTGACCTTCATCGTCGGCGCCAGCATCGTGGCGACGCTCATCGGCCGCGAGCAGATCAACAACCGCCTGTCGGAGGGGCACTCCATCACGGACAAGGTCAACGCGCTGCTCTTCCTGAAGAAGAAGGAGCAGGAGGAGGCCGAGGCTGCCCGCCAGGCCGCCATCGAGGATGTGGAGTAATTTACAGTACTGGGGATTAAGGATATATCTGTATATTCGGGAGGGCGCGGGAAAAGGAGGGGATGATTTTGTAGATTACAGTTTCGTATATGCGAATCCAGACGGCAGTCGCTGTGTTTCATTTGTTGAGTTGTACCTAGTAGTGTCATCCTGTATTCAGTAGTATCTACACCGTGATTTTCATATGCAATCTTCTATAGGCTTCACATTGCCAGACTTATACTATCAGGGCTGATTATAGTAGACTTCACATTCCCAGAGTTCCATCCAAGCTCACCACTAAGACCAACCCAACATACACAGTTCCAGCCTTGACGTCAATACGTAGGAAAGTATTTCCTACCAAGTAGGTCAAAATACTGGACAACATCCTACAACTCAAGCAGCTCATACCTCCGTCAGCGGGACGTTATCAATTTGATCAGGGTGAGCTAAGATAAAGATGTAACGATCACATGCTGAGCATTACTTACTATAGATTAACTCCTCACGCTTATCCCACACCTTAGGTAGGTATATACCCATCTCTAGGTCCTTTCCCCTCACTCATACCTTACTACCTTCTTGTAAGCACGGCACAGCCCTGACACCCCTCCATGACAATAATTAGTAGTAGTAGTAGTAGTAGTAGTAGAATCATATCTACTACCATCTCTACCTACCTAATCCTCTCTCCCTCTCTCTCCCTCTCTCATATACAACTTACAAAACACTCAGAGCTATGCATACCTTCATCCCCCCGTGGTGTTGTTGCTTCTTGCTATATCCGCGCCTAAGTAGTTATATATGTAGGCTCTCTTTCACTGGTGATTATATTCATGATAGCTATATTGGTTGACCGTATAAGCTGGCTGGGTTATACTTTTATATCTTCCACTTATTAGAGGGGGGGGGGGGGGGGGGGGGGGGGGAGGGAGTATAGATATCACCACTGTGATACTGCTATCTAGGTAGTACTTAGGTACAGTAAAAGGCCTATCTACATGCTAGAAAGCATAGGTAGGTAGGCAGGTAAAAGCACATGACAAGATCATTGAACTAAGCGGTGCTGGTTTTCAATATAAGTTAGGACAGGAGCTATCGTAGGGGGTAGGAACTCACTCCTTACCGTCGATTGACTATGTATCCATGGATAACTACTAATTCTTCAAAAGCATCTAATCGGTAGCTACCTACCTAGCTATGGATTATATGACATACTACTACTACAATCAACCACCTGATCAGAACTACTCCCCACTTCACACAAGCCTACAAACCCCCCAAACAAGAAATAACCAAGAAGAAAGAAAAAGCAAAAGAAGAAATGATCAAACCTCAACCCCAAAAACAACCACCAACCCCACTCCCCAAACACCCAACAAAGCAACCACCGCCCAAGACGGCCCCCCAACAACCCCACCACATCACCAGGTAATCCCATCCGATGGGTCGCAAAGAAGGACGCCACGTCGGCAATATACAGCGGAGACAAGGCAGCCAGCCACGCTCCGACCCAGAGGAAGCCGATGGCGTGGAAGGCTTGCTTTTGGGGGATTATTGAGGTGATACTGGGTGGGAGAGAGAGACGGGAGAAGAGACGGGAGAAAACAACTTCAAGGATGACGGCGATGGCGAAGCCGAGGAAGTAGGGGACTGCGGTTGAGGAGGAGGTAGCTGGAGTGTCAATGGCGGGAGAGGCGAAGTGGTGGATGAGGCCGGAGAGGAGGAAGATGAGAGTTATGGCGATTGGGCGGGAGTTGGTGATGAGGGTTGTGATGGGGATGCGGAGGGGGAGCTGGAAAAGTTGGTGCCAGTATTTTCTATTTCATTATTTCTTCCTTTCTTCTCTTCATGGAAGGGGTGGGGTGACTAGATAGGGTTATGGATAATGTATGGAACGACTCACCCCCAAACATTCCTCAAACACCACGCATCCCAGATACTCCCATACAGGGGCGGAAACTGCGCCGGGGGCACGAGACGTGCAGCCACGAAGACGATAGAAAAGAAGCGGTAGGGCCCATCAATGACGAGACGGAGGAGAATAAGCGGGGTCCAGAGGGCGGAGAGCAAGCGGGGGAACCAGCGAGTGGACGACGGGTCCAGGAACAGCCACTTGAGATTATGGGGCGCAGTGGGATCGACGCCGCGACCTGACTGGGTCAGGATGAGGTCGACGGCGAGGTACTGCCAGGCGAAGATGGCACATTGGCGGGCGAGAAAGGCGGGACGGGACGGGGGTCGGTGGGCGAAGGCGGCGGGCCAGTGGGGGAGGTGGCGTGCTTGCCAGGGGGTGCCGATGCCGCGCAGGTTGAGGACGAGGTTGACTGCTGGGAGGAAGGGGGTGTACTCGGGGATGGTGTCGAGGAGGAAGAGGAGGTTGATGGAGTGGAGGCCGTTGACGAGGAGGAGCACGGCGGTGGCGCATTTGGCGAAGGGGTGAATGGTGGTCTGGGGGAGGTGGTAGATGCGCCAGTAGATTGCGCCAGCCAGGGTTGGGAGGTAGGTGAGGCGTCTGGGGGGTTTGTGTTTGGTGGTAGAGAGGAGGATGGCGGCGTGGAGGGTGGGGAGCATGAAGGCGAAGGGGAGGAACCAGCTGGTTGACATATCTAAAGTACTTATAGAGCGGGACTATGTGATTGTCTTGGGTTAGCTAGATGAGTATGTGGTATATAGATGTACGGCGGTTCTTGAATTGAGTAGATCTACGCTGAATATGTAGTTGAGACAGTTATGGAAAGGACGAGGGACTCCAGAAAGACCCGACATGGATGAGGAGTGGAGGACATGTACGCCCGGCAACCAGGCACAGGTGGGTGTCACCATCTTGGAGGGTTATTTTGTAGAAGGTACACCAGATAAACCTGTGGTCACAACTTGGGGAGTCAATGAGACTATTTCTTAAGCCTCCACATATCAAGAAAGCCATTGTTGGGTTTCTAGTTCAGTAGAAATCAATGATACAATCATAAACTAGTATCATAGAGTAAGTATATAGCATATTAGTAGTAGTATACTACCAGCATGGCGTGTATAAATTAGTTCAACCAGTATCAATTGTACTAACCACTCCACTAAAACTGCATCACTAGCGGCCAACGTCGTTACAATAACCTACAACTAGCCAACAAATCAGAGAGCGATCGTGTCATCTGATCCGGTGGTCTAAGCTTATGGTTATCAGATGGATGGATGGATGGATAGAATACAATGTGTAGGTTTGATCAATAACCCTAAAGATTTATAGTGTGGCTGAGCATGCTTATCTATAGGAAGAGAAAAAGGTAAAATCAAACTAGAACAATACAGGGATATATATCCCAAGAAGGAAAGTCGGACGAGTCTAGACGACCATCGACTCACCCCGTGACAATATATAATATCGAACATGGACTACATACTGTACAGTGACCTGTCGATCCCCCACCGTTCCTGGCAAGACCAGGACAAGTCATGGGACTGAATAGAAGGCCCAAGAACGATAATCGACTGCAGTGGCAGGTGCCACCAACCCGAGAGAAACCGGTTTTATGACAAGCATTGGGCCGAAATCCAAAAAAAGCATGTACCAAGTTCAACCCCAGACGGTAGATCGGGAGCAGGGTTGTTGATCCTGACAATGAGGGCGATCGGAGGGGCCACGGAGTCATACATCATACATCATTGTACTCATCATCATCATTATCGACTGGATCCGTGTTTTCCAGGAAAACCAGGAAGAGGTGGGAATAACGTCATGTGGATTAGGTAAGAGATGACTGTACGGACTACGGGACTGAAGACATCGGGCCGGACCAGACGGTCAAAACCAAAAGGTGCCCTCAGGCCGAACCGAGCCGCCAGGTAGTGACCGGGCCGATTCTTCATTGTCTTGAATTGACTTTATTGAGATGGTAAATTTTAATTTTCTTCAACTGAGTGATGATAATCCAGGCTAACCGGGAACGGTTAAAACTGGGGAGGGGTCGACAGGATTGATGAACAGGGGGAAACCACTGTCCAAATGACCTTGAGAAAAGAAAGGGAGAGAAGAAAAGTGGAAGTGGAAGTGGAAGGTGGAAGAGGGACTGGACCGGGTCTAGAAGGTGAGAGACTGGATCCGGGCGGTTGAAAGGGGAATAGTGGGGAGGGGAGAGAAAAATTGGACAGTGTCAGGTGGGCGATCGACAGAAAAAAAGAAAAAAGAAAGAAAGGAAAAGAGAAGGAAAGACTTGGCAGGGACTGCATCTAGATGGACTGCTGTGACTTGTTGGAGATAGTGGTAGTTAAGACGTGGGGATTGATGGATCCTGCATCCAGGAATTGATCTGGAGGGGAATTGGCAGTGGTCAGGTGAGGATCCTGAATTTCCAGGTAGTTAGTAGGTAGTAGTAGATAGTCATACTAATTAGTAGGAAGTAGTAGATAGCGAGGAGTTGAGACGAGTTAGCATAGGAAGTGGAGTTGGAAGGGGAGTCGAGGGTCATGTGCGAGTCTATTCTTAGGGCCGGATCTCTACCGACCAGACTAGAAGAAGCAAGAGAACAGAAGGAACGAAAAAGAAAATCCAGGGAATGCCAGAGGTTCCTTGGATAAACCACAGGGAAATTCATCTGGATGGTGGGAAAAAAAAGGGCCAAGTGGTGGACTAGTAGGGATTGGAGAAGACGGCAAGGGGGGGACTAGACTACTAGTAGTCCCAAGAACCAGAAACAAGACAACAACCAAGACAGCTATAGTCAGTAGGAGGAACAGACAAGCTGACGACCAACCTGGTCGTCTGATCAGAAAAAAAACCTCTTGTTCCCCCACCGCCCCCACTTCTCCAGAAGAAGCAGAGACAATAGTAGACTCACATTCCTCTCACTTGTCTATGGGAATCCCTAACAAAAGTGAGGTGAACATAAAGTCTTTCTTCTTTCTTCTTTTTCTTCTTTATCTTCTGTTCTTTCTCTCTTTCTCTCCTCTCTCTCTCTCCTCTCTCTCTCGTATTGGTCGAATGGAATAGATCGCCACCCTAACCAAGTCAAACCAACCGTACTCCAGCGTGACCTCATACTTTCCAACCTGGTCTGTCCCAACTTCCGCCAACCAGCTTTCCTCTTCCTTTCTCTCTCCGACAATCGATTCTTCTTCCATTCGACCCTTCACGTCATCCTCTTGTCTTCTCTTCTCTTCTCTTCTCATTCTCCTGGACTTCTCTGGCTTCCATCGTGTCTATAGTTGATTGTATCATTCGCCCCGACTGTAGTGCCGGTTTCCCTTCCTCTTCCCCGCCCCGCGTCATCCGTCTCCATTTCCACCTTGTTCGCGCCCCTCTTGGCTTGGAACGGGAATTGCAACGTAATTAATTCTTGTCTTTCTCCCTCTCTCTCTCTCTCTTTTTACTCTTCGCCTCCCTCGAGTTTTCCCCCCTTCTCTCTTCCTTCCTCCCTACTCTTCCCCCCCCAAAGGACCCGATTACGAGATATTGCCGACTCCGGTCATTTGCCCCTCTCTCTCTCCTCTCCTCTCCTCCCCTCTCTTATCTTGACTTCCCCTCTCCCATCGCCCGTCAAATCATCTTTTCTTCGGTCCATTTGATACCACCTATATACCCTTTTCGCCATACCCTTCCCTTCCGGTTTTCTGGTTCACATTTTTCCCTTTTTTTTTTTTTTTTTCTTTCTTCTTTTTTAAACTCCCATTCCCTGTTATCTATTTCATCCCGTTGGTTTGTTCCCACGGAGGGGTCAAAAATAAATTCGAAGAAAAAAAAAAAAAAGCACGAAAAAAACCTCTCCACGCCATCACCATGAGGAACCCCTTTGATATGACCGACATGTCGGATTCCGTCGTCGAAGATGATTACGAGCCTCACATCGATATCCACGCCTATCAATCCAACGACGGCAACCGTTCTTTGCTGCAGAACGAGCGGGCCCGTGGCGATCTCAAGGAACGCTTCATCGGTGCGATCGATACCGGTACCACCAGCTCTCGCTTCATCATCTTTGACTGCACCGGTGTTCCCGTCGCCAAATACCAAAATGAATTCCGTCAGATTCATTCGCAATCGGGGTGAGTTTTTTCGCCTGAAAAAGAGAAAGCAAAAAGAGAGAAAAAGAGAAAGGAAAGGACAAGAAAAGAAAAAAGACAGAAAACTAATATTAGTAGATACCATGAACAGGATCCCTTCGAATTGGTCGACTCCGTCTACATTTGCATCGAAGAGGCCATGAAGAGTTTCCTCGCCCTCGGTCACTCCGCCGACGCCATCGAGGCCATCGGCATCACCTCTCAACGGGAGACCGCCATCTGCTTTGACTGGGAGACCGGGGAGCCCCTCTACAACGCCATCGCCTGGCCCGATACTCGTACCAACGGTCTCGTCCGCGACCTCAAGGAACAGCCCGGTGCCGACGAGCTGGTTGGTATCTGCGGTCTCCCCCTCTCCACCTACCCCTCCTCCGTCACCCTCGTCTGGATGCTCCGGAACCTGCCCGAGGTCCGCGAGGCCTACGAGGCCGGCCGCCTGGCCTTTGGTACCGTCGACACCTGGCTCATCTACAACCTGAACGGCGGCCCCACCGGCGGCCGCCTGGTCACCGACGTCACCAACGCCTCCCGCACCATGTTCATGAACCTCGAGACCCTCGACTACGATGATCGCCTGCTCGACTTCTTCGGCATCGACCGCAAGAAGATCCGCCTGCCCACCATCCTCCCCTCCGCCGACCGCGAGGGCTACGGCTACGTCAGCTCCGGCCCGCTCGACGGCATCCCCATCACCAGCTGCCTGGGCGACCAGTCCTCCGCCCTCGTCGGCCACTGCGCCTTCACCCCGGGCATGGCCAAGAACACCTACGGCACCGGCTGCTTCATGCTGTACAACGTCGGCGACAAGCCCGTCATCTCCAAGCACGGCCTGCTGGCCACCGTCGGCTTCCAGCTGGGGCGTGACCGGAAACCCACCTACGCTCTCGAAGGTAGCGTTGCCGTCGCCGGTAGCGGTGTCTCCTTCCTGATGAACAACATGGGTTTCTTCCGTGATTCGCGCAAGGTCAGCGATTTGGCTAGCTCCGTACCGGACAACGGAGGGTGCTTCTTCGTTACTGCCTTCAGTGGTTTGTTCGCTCCGTACTGGATTGACGATGCCAAGGGAACCATCTGTACGTTCATCCCTTTTCCCTATCCATGACACCCACTGACTCGAATAGTTGGTATCACGCAGTTCACCCAAAAAGGGCACATTGCCCGTGCCACCATGGAAGCCGCCTGTTTCCAAACCAAGGCCATTCTGGACGCCATGGAGATGGACAGTGGACACAAACTGACCGAACTGGCCGTGGACGGGGGTATGAGCAATTCGGATATTTGCATGCAGGTCGGTCTCTCCCCTCTCGCTTTTGATCGACCCGTACTAACTGTCCCAGACCCAAGCCGATATCATCCAGATCCCCGTCGAGCGACCCTCGATGCACGAGACGACCGCCCTCGGCGCCGCCATCGCCGCCGGATTCGCCATGGGCGTGTGGAAGGAGTTCAGCGAGCTCCGCAACATGAACCGCGCCAACCGCACCACCTTCACGCCGCACATCTCGCCCGTCCAGAGCAAGAAGATGTACGGCCAGTGGTCCAAGGCGGTGGAGATGTCCCGCGGCTGGGTGGAAGCGGGCGACATGGACGGGGAAGCTGACGCTGAATGAGTTGCATTTTATATTTCAACCTTATTTCATTTCTTTTTCTTGTTCAATAGCTTGGGGTCTGCGATTTAGCGATGTTTTTCTGACTGGGGGTTGGGGCTTTCTGGAGGTTTCTTTGGGATACCCGATACGATCAGGTAACATACGTCGGTCTCATCAGATGGGATTGATAGGACATATAGATATACGAATAGTTCATCACATACATAAATACATCAATAAATACATTCATAAATATCTATCTCCATCATCCTAATCCACAGCAGCATCAGCATCAGTATCAGCATCAGCAGTACCCGACAAAGCAACACTCGACCTCCCCAAATCCACAACCCTCACCAAACTCTCACACAACCGATCCAGCACCCACTCCGGCTCCGTCCGCCCCGCCATCATCGGACTCTCCACCCCAATCCAATCCCAGTCCAACAACCCATACGCGTCCTCCTTCCGCTTAAACTCTTCCCGCCGATCGTCAGGCGGGAGAGAGGCACGGGTGTTGGTGTGGGTGGAAGCGGCCCAAGCGGCCGCGCCGGAACTCTGTATGAGCCGCTTGAAGACGGTCCACTGGGTGTAGGTGTATTGTTTGGGGGTGGAGGTGGAGGTGAATGGGGAGGCGAGGGTGGCGTCTTTTGTGACGCGTTGGATGGTGATTGCTAGTTGGTGGACGAGGATGGGGGGGTTGATTTGGGGGGTCTTTTGGGTTTGGGTTGGGGGTGTTTTTCTGGGGGGTGTGATGGGGTAGTAGTAGGTGGTGGAGGTGGTGGTGGTGAGGAGGAGGAGGATGATGAAGGAGATGAAGAGTCAGTAGTGGTAGGAGTAGGAGAAGCAGAAGCAGAAGACGAAGACGAAGAAGAAGAATCTCCTCCCCCCCGCTCCTCATCCCTCCCCCTCCCATGAATACTACCACCTCCCCTCCCATCACCTCCCCTCCTCCCCCCTTCTTATCTCCCCTAAAACCACCCCCCAAAACCCTAAACAAAGCCCTATACTGCCCCGGATGCGGCAACACCGTCCAATCCCCCGCAACATCCATCCCCCTCTTAAACCCATCCACAACTGTATCGCCCATCTCCGCAATCAGCGTCGTCATAGTCGGCACAGCGACCAGCGACCAGACCACAAAAAACGGCTTCCCCGCATTCGTCCGCGGCGTGATATCCCCGTACCCGATGGTCAGCAGCGAGCAGAACCCGAAGTACAGCGCTTCCTGGTAGCTCAGACCCTGGCTCGCTTCGATGCTCCAGAAGACGACGGCGCCGATGGTCCACACCACCATGAAGGAGAGGATGCTGAGGGACAGGTTGAAGTAGCGGCGGAAGTGGGACGTGTTGTTTTGGATGGACCGCATGGCGTGGAAGCGGGCTTTGTCTTCGGGTTCGGTTCCTGGCGTTGCTGTTGCTGTTGCTGTTGCTTGGGGTGGGACTCCCTGTGAGGAGGGATGTTTACCCTGTTGAGGATTGTTGTGTAGGGACCGAAAGTGCTCTAGAGCAGCCTGCCTCCGCCGCTCAGCATGCTTCATCACAACGTTATTGTGCTTCACCTCCCTCACAGAGCGATGCACACTCGCCACCACCAGCGCCAGGATAATAATCCCCATAACAGCATACGGCAGCGCCAGCGCCTTCGCCGCAGCCGTCGTAGGCGGGATATCGCCGAACCCGAGGGTCAAGATAGTAACATCCGAGAAGTAAAGCGCGTCGGCGAAGGAGATGTCGATGACGCGGTGGAAGACGGCCGCGCCGATGAGAAGCCAGATGACGAAGGTTGTTGTCTGCAGGATGAGCGTGCGTTGCGAGTCTGTTAATGCGAAGTGCTGGGGGTAGTGGCCGCGGATGTAGCCCAGCAGGTTGATGAGGAGGAGTGCGCCGAGGAGGAAGTAGAGGCTTGAGGCGATGACGGCGCTCCAGTAGGCTTGGGAGTAGGTTTGGGAGGGGGGGATGGGGGGCGCGTAGATGTGCATTGCTGTTATGCTGGAGACTAGCTGTTTCTTGGTCAGTTTATATCTTTGTATGCCTCTTTGAAGAGGAAGAAGAGGAGAGGGGAAAGGGGAGGGAGGAGGTACAGTAGCAGTAGCCAAAACCCAACACACGATCGACACCGGCAACGCAACAATATACCGCACGACTCTGGTGAAATTGAACAACAGGAATACATTCCCTGCTAACCCACACACCAGCGAGATGGCGTTCAACGCGATGCACCTATCCCTTTAGCCTTAGACATATCCATATACACATATCATATATCCACATGGATATAAATCAAGATAGAAAGGAACATACCACCCCGGATCCCCATACGTAGTCTGCACCGGATCCCCCAACCGATCACTGCGATCAAAATGCACATTACAGCGCCAGCGCATGGCGAGCGCCACGATCGACATGACGTTCGCGAGCGGGCTCGTGGCGGCCGAGATGAGCGGGATGGCGGTCGACGCGAACCACCAGTCTTGCGGGTCGTCGTCGTCCGGGGGGCGCATGTGTATTTTGGGATGGAAGGTCCAGCGGTTCCAGTTCCAGTTCCACCATTGTTTTTTGATGGGTTGCATTTTGTTTGGTGGTGGTGGTTGTGGTGGTATGGCTGGGTTGGCTATCCGGGGGGGATGCGCTGGGGGTGTTGGGTGGGTGGGGGTTGGCATTGTTGTGGTACTGTTCTTTTTGTCTGTCTGTCTACCTATTCATTCATCTATCTATCTATCATTCACTACAGGGTAGAGAGTGTAGATGATAGATATAGGTAGACTGGTAACACAACAGCGGGGTTGTTCCGACCAGACGGGGATGTCCCACGCTGAATGAGCTGATAGATGATGTCTCATGGCGAAGTATACATGATCGTATAATGAGATATAATATACAGTATATACAATATATATAATAAGTTCCTGTCTTCTTTCAGTATTATGTCTGACGGATGGCCAAAAGAAAGAATGGAAGTCCCGTGATATCCGCCGGATATCTTGCGTCATGGAACCCAAACCGTACCATGTTACATCCACTTCAACACAACAATCCACTTTAATACACCATATCAGACCAAGCTAGAAGGTAATGGTATGTAGACATTGACCAATTTCTATATGCGTGTACAGTACAGTACAATACAATGAGCATTGCTGGCCATCAACCTGCCAATGCATGCTATTTCAACTTGGAGATCAGACAAGGAAATCGAGCTCAGATAGAGGATGTGAAGACGAAAGGGACATGCCAAAGAGGAAGAAAAGGAACATGCGAGGAGAGAAAAAGAAACATGCGAGCAGAGAGGAGGATATCAACAGGAGATGGATAACAAGGACAAAAAATAGACTACTCGGGCGATCGGGTCGGAGTCGACGCTGGGGGCTCGGCGGCCTCTTCCTGCAGTCGGGTCGTCTGCAGTGGCTCCGGCAGGATGAGCGGTGCTTCGGGCGCGATCTCCAACTTGGGCAGCTTTTCGCCCCGGAGGACCTTCTCCATTTCCTCCTTGGTCAGAGTCTCGTACTCGATCAGCGCCTTGGTCAGCAGTTCGAGCTCGCTGCGCTTTTCGGTCAGGATGGTGGACGCGCGCGCGCGAGCCTCCTCCACGAGTCGGCGCACTTCGGCTTCGATCTCCTGCTTGGTCTCCGAGGACAGGCTGTCGTAGTTGCTCGACAGGTCGACGTTTCCGAGTTTCTTGGAGTAGCCGAATCGGGTGATCAGAGTAAAGGCGGTTTCGGTGGCTTGTTGGATGTCCTGCATATTGTTAGTTCTAGTAAGACGGGAAAGAAGGAAAAGAAGACATACAGCGGAGATACCGCTCGTGACCTTGTCAGGCCCAAAGATAAGCTCTTCCGCAGCCTTTCCGCCCATCGACACATCAATATCCGACAGGTATTCAGTATAGTTCCGCGACACCATGTCCATCTCGGGCAGGAAGTGGGTCACACCCAGCGCCATGCCACGGGGAACAATAGTGATCTTGTACAGCGGCGTTGACGATGGCGAAAAGTAGGCCACCAGCGCGTGCCCCGCCTCGTGGTACGCCGTCAGCAGCTTGTCCTTATCCTGGATGACCCGGCTGCGCGCCTCGGCACCCATCATGATCCGGTCCTTGGCCCAATCCAGGTCCTTGGCGCCCACCTTGGTCTTCTTGTCCCGGCTGGCGTGGATGGCCGCCTGATTGACCAGGTTTTCAAGATCGGCTCCAGAGAAACCGGGCGTACCGCGAGCGATCACGCCGACGTCGACATCCGTGCCGGTCTGAACCTCCTTCATGTGGTGGCGCAAGATATCCATGCGACCACGCACATCCGGCAGTCCGACGACCACCCGCCGATCGAAACGACCGGGACGCGTCAAGGCCTTGTCCAGCAGTTGAGGGTAGTTGGTGGCCGCGATGATGATCACACCGCTGGTCTGGGAAAATCCGTCGAGCTCAGTGAGCAGCTGGTTCAGCGTCTGTTTCACATAGGCCGCATCCCGCTCGTTGCGCTTGGCTCCTATGGCATCCAGTTCGTCGATGAAGATGATGGCCGGAGCCTTGCCCCGCGCTTGGTTGAACAGTTCGCGGACACGCTTGGCGCCGACGCCTACATACACTTCGTCGAATTCAGAGCCAGACATGTAGAAGAACGGAACCCCAGCCTCGCCGGCGACGGCGCGAGCCAGGAGCGTTTTACCAGTGCCGGGAGGGCCCACGAGAAGCACACCCTTGGGCAACTTGCCACCGAGGGACGAGAAACGGTCGGGGTTCACCAGGAACTCCACCAGCTCTTGCAGCTCATCCTTGGCCTCGTCGCATCCGTGCACGTCGCTAAACCGGACGGTCTGTTGCTGAGGCTGCGCTTCGTTGTTCTGGGGGCCGCGGATGTTCTTCAAAACACCGGTGGTTTCGACAAGGATAGTGACCAGGACAAGAGACAAGTACGTGAAGAAGCCGAAGTAGAGCAGGAACTTAACCCAACGGAACACGGCGCTGCCGAGCGACTCTTCCACGACGACGTACAGGGGAGCCTCTTTCGCACCGGTCCCGTTTTGCTTGGTTGCCATTCCGACCTGACCGCCATGATTCCGGGCCGCGACCGCCTGGCCGATGGCCTGCAGTTGCTCGGGATTCAGGTTCTGGTTGGTACCGGGGGCGACGGCGGCGGCGGCGTCAGCGCCACCCACCTTTTGCAGGGACTTGAGATAGATGGCTTCCGAGAGAGGGTTGCTGGCAAAATGACCACTCTTATATCGTTCGACGACAATCGCGGGCATGTTGGCGCGGAGGAGGGACTGGTAGAAAGCATTCTGGGCACTGGCGCTGTTGGGGTTGTTGTTCGCGGTCTTTTCCTTCTGAGCCAACAGGTTGTGAGACGGGCCGCCAAAGAGGAATCGTTGTTGCTGTAGCCTGGAGAGTCCGTTGACCTTGGGAGCGGCGTGGAAACCGACCAGACCCTTGGTCACCGTGGAATAGGAACGAGACGAGAAGGGACGGAGCGCGAGAGAGGTAGTCCGAAACGAGGGCCAAGATTGCATGGGCTTATACAACACGTCTGCCCTTAGCGCTTCGGGGGACACTACGTTCAAGCACTCGGGAAGTGAAACGCCACGGAGTGTCTATGAATCCATTAATACCGGTATTCTTGTAATCTGCATCCTGACAGAAAGTCCATACCGTTGAACTCGCTTCCGCCGGCGTGCGCTGGGCGGGGAGCTGAGACGCTGCGGAGGCGGAGGCGGAAAAGGTACGTTTAGCGTTCTTCCAGGGCGCGTTCAGCGTCGTCGACATTGCCGGCCACAGGTCCGAAGTCGCCGCAGCAACATTCTATTTCACAATCCAGCATTAGACCGGATATTCTCAAGCGTGTGGAGGATAAGAAAGTGACTCACCGGCCTGGGAATGGGGAGCTGGAAGGCCATCATGGTTGCCCAGAGGCGGCGCTCGGCCGCGACGATGGAGATCAGAGTGGGGGCCTTGGGAGTAGGATAAGAGAGAAGACAGGGAGTAAGGTTATTCTTCAGACAGGCAAAATGCCATCACCAATAATATTAAGATGACAGCCAACTCGACACTAGGGATCAAAGTAGGATAGATGATTGAATGAGAAACAGGAACTTGCTTCTCTCCACGCCGGGCGGCGAAACTATCGGTTGGGTTTGCCACGGCGGTCGCTGTGCCCGGCCGGAGGGCTGTCACGTGTGGGTGCCCCAGGCAGCAGGCTTCGGGCCGATTCCACCGCCGTCCATACTTTATATTCTAACGATGGAGATGGCAACTACTCTTCATTCTGACCGTCAACTGATCTATGAGATACACCCCATGACAGGATGTACATGACAGCATTCAGTATCCGGGGACGGTGACTATTCACTCCCAATGCCAATCGTAGTTGACAGACTCCCCGCCTCAAGGACGGACACTCGATCCGGTAGACAGATTGGAGCAGGACTCGTCATCAGGGAGATTATTTGATGGTGAACCGTGAAGTTCGCCTGGAGACGGAAAATCAATCCAACTACTTTCAATTCATTCAATTCATTCATTTACGATGTTGAATGGTCGCTCTTATATGGTCATCTGCCATCATGTCTAAGAAAATGATCTTCCTCATGGGAGCCCCCACCGTTCAGAGCCTCCACTGGGATGAAACAGAGCTCCTCAACGAACCTACCTTTCCTTTTGAGAACGAAGGGCACCGGCCTTCGTCGGACACGCAGCCAGTCAAATGGAGATTGTTACCCAAGCGTGGGGCTCTCGAGGAGAACCTATACGGAGCCGGAGTCACCCAGTTCTTGACGACCCGAGATCTTACCAACCGCGAGGGGGATAACCCCGATGGGAGTATCCCCTCAGAACTCCCTGAGGACTCGATGCTCTCGCAATTCTACAACCATTCCTTCACGGTCCACGAGACCTCGACGGTGTCTGCGCCCGGTTCCATGGAGGAGAGCGACCTCTGGGCTGGCAGCACGGCGACTTCAATCGCGACTAGTAACGAGGGTGACAAAGAGGCTCCAGGGCCCATGCCGCCGATCCAGGGACCGGTGATCGACCTCCAGGACATCCCCAGTGCGAGATACCTCGAGTCCATTGTGCCCCAGACCATGACGGTCAACCTGATTGTCAGTATCATCACAATTCACCCGCCACGTCGCATTGTGACGCGACAGTGGAAGAAGGAACTGGATCTCGTTGAGATGGTCGTAGGGGACGAGACACGCAGCGGGTTTGGGGTTACGCTCTGGCTAGGCCCCGTGGACCAGACAAAGGGTGGTGTTGCCGCACGAGGTTGCGCTGAGGGAGGCGACCTGGGCCCCACGCTGGCGGGCCTGCGACCCCGCGACATTGTCCTGCTGCGTATGGTTGGCCTGAGCTCATTCCGCGAACGGGTATACGGGCAAAGCCTACGGAAGGGGGTCACCAAGGTCGACCTCCTGCACCGACCGCGGGTGGACGCGGGTGACGCAGGCGGTCTGTACAGCGCGCGGCAACTCCGCGACGTCCCTCAAACTCACCCTGCAGCCAAGAAGGACGATCTGCCGTTGGCGAAAGTGAGCAAGGTCCGTGAGTGGATCCGCCGGTTTGTGGGCAGTTCGCCGGATGCGGCAGGCGGTGAGAGGACGGGAGTGACTAATCCGAAACTCGTGCTCCCACCTGATACGCCCGATACTTATAATTAGAAAAAGGGGGGAGAATACCTCATGCAGGTGGAAATTCCACCGTTTTACCTATATCTGCCCCCGGATGGACAGTATCACGCATGTTGATATCGGGATGATCCTGGATGCAGGAATCATTCCACCCAAAACCACCCTGGTCGAGGCGTTTTGGATAGCTTGGGGCAGGAGGGTGGGTCAGGACACGCCATGCCAAGCACGACCGGACTTGGGACAGGTTTGAAACAACGATGGATGCCGAATCAGCGGCAGACGATGGATTCCAATGACGGGGAACCCACACCGTGACATTGGCTACCTGATTATTATAATAGAATGTAAATACAATAAAAATAAGAATAACAATCAAAGACAAAGAAAGGCACATACAATATTGAATAGGAAGATTACAGGAAATCAAGTACAAAAGTACAAAAGATCTGGTACTCTAGCTGAGACACCTTGCCACTCATGATGTGTTGCAGACAATCCATATCACAGTAAATTCAAGTCAGTTAATTTCCAGAAATTAGAGTAACAGGAGGTTACCGTACCATACGTACTTATGGATAGGTTGTACCTGGGCACTCCCTATAGTATGTACGGTGGGGCGCTGTCCAAGGCCTAGATGGATCATCCGCAAACAGTAGGGGAAAAGGAGCAAATGGTACGGTACGGTAACCTGCCACCGTCTCTCCCCTGGATATGGAATGGATCCATCCAGCTGTTCTCCTGATCCTTTCCTTTGTTATTACTTCCCCATCACTCTCCCATCTCCCCTCTTCCCAACACTTCTTGTCCTCCTCCTCCTTCTCCTGCTTGTGTGTCTTCTCCAGCGTCAATTCTGGTCTCGACACCTTGGTCTTGTCCTGGGTTTTCTTCTCTTCCTTTCACCTTTCTTTTCCTTTCTCTTGGGGTTCTTTGGCTTCTTTCGACCTGTCTCCTCCCCCCACCACCGGAATCATCCCGCTGTCCCCTCATAATAACCTCCCTCCAACCAACCCACCATGAAGGGTATGTACAGTATAATTGTATGATTGGAGATCAGCATCATAAAGCTAATTGACACAACAGCTCTCATTCTCGTCGGAGGGTTTGGTACCCGTCTGCGACCTTTGGTGAGTACTCGACTCGGCCCCCGCATACCACACACCACATCCCACCAATACGTGTCAATGCGGTCCGTCCCCGTCCGAATACAGGCTAACCATGACAATCGCTTGTGTAGACATTGACCCTCCCCAAACCTCTGGTCGAGTTCGGCAATCGTCCCATGATCCTCCACCAAGTCGAAAGTCTGGCCGCCGCCGGAGTAACGGATATTGTCCTGGCCGTCAACTACCGCCCCGACGTGATGGTGGCGGCCCTCAAGAAGTACGAGGAGCAATACAATGTTCGCATTGAGTTCTCCGTCGAGACCGAACCGCTGGGCACGGCTGGTCCGCTGAAGCTGGCGGAGAAGATCCTCGGCAAGGATGACACGCCCTTCTTCGTGTTGAACTCGGATATCATCTGCGACTTCCCCTTCAAGCAGCTGGCCCAATTTCACAAGAGCCACGGTGACGAGGGCACCATCGTCGTCACCAAGGTCGACGAGCCCTCCAAGTACGGTGTCGTCGTCCACAAGCCCAACCACGCCTCGCGCATCGACCGCTTCGTCGAGAAGCCCGTCGAGTTCGTCGGCAACCGCATCAACGCCGGCATCTACATCCTGAACCCCAGTGTGCTGAACCGCATCGAACTGCGTCCCACCTCCATCGAACAGGAGACCTTCCCCGCCATCTGCAACGACGGCCAACTGCACTCCTTTGACCTGGACGGCTTCTGGATGGACGTCGGTCAGCCCAAGGACTTCCTCACGGGCACCTGCCTCTACCTCACCTCGCTCGCCAAGCGCAACTCCAAGCTGCTCGCCCCTCACTCCGACTCCTACGTCTACGGCGGCAACGTCATGGTCGACCCGTCGGCCAAGATTGGGAAGAACTGCCGTGTCGGCCCCAACGTGGTCATCGGTCCCAACGTGGTGGTCGGGGACGGAGTGCGTCTGCAGCGCTGTGTGTTGTTGGAGAACAGCAAGGTCAAGGATCATGCCTGGGTCAAGTCGACCATCATCGGATGGAACAGCTCCGTGGGCAAGTGGGCCCGTCTGGAGAATGTGACCGTCCTCGGTGACGATGTCACCATCGCCGACGAGGTCTATGTCAACGGCGGTTCCATCTTACCCCACAAGAGTATCAAGCAAAATGTCGATGGTAAGTCGTTCATACATTCGGATCACGAGCCAGTACTAATGTTTGATAGTACCTGCAATCATCATGTAATCACCCTTTCCACGACCATCCTCCCTCCCTCCTCCTTTTTCTTTCCCACCACCCCCACGTTGGACCGTTGGATGCACAAAAGGGCGCTGTTTCCTCGCCTCTCCTGCGACATGAGTACCTGTCATGGGAATCATCGAAATCGTCGACAGGAACGAGTCCACCCACCCCCTTTCGAAACTCACCGCGTTCGAGCCTTAACCCCCATCCCACCCCCCTCTCTCTCTCTCTTCCTACATTCGTCCTCACCCGCCGTCTTCCCCACGCGCCAGCCTTGATGGTGGTGTGTATCTGAGGGGGTAGCCGTGGTTATCCTATTTATTCGACCCGTTTACAGCAATTCTAATTTTGCCCCCTTTTTCTGTTGACGTTCTTGTCGTTTTTTTTTATTATCTCAACCCCTGTGTTTTTTCCCCCGGGATCGGAATCCTGCCGCGCAGTCAGTCCAACCATCCAAACTTTGAAACCCGACTGTTCGTTTCGACAATAGTCTTTGCCTTCTCCTCGGTTCATCCTCTGAATGAATGAACGAACGGGTGGAATAAGAGGCGTCTAATACCAAGGAAAGAAAGAAGAAAGAAAGAGTACACGGTCTACCCTATCCGGGTATCGTATCGGGTGTGGGGATGCGTTTGTTGCTTAGTCTTATTCTAATGATGTATGCGGACATGGGGTTTCAGGATTGGAATTGTATATATGAGACAGGCAGACAGACAGGAATTCAGATCAATGAGTTAGGTTTGGTTTAGTGTATTGTATCGTATTGGTATATCTATATGCATCTATCTAAAGATATTATTACAGTTGTAGTAGTGGATACTATAAGTCCACGACATGTCTAACAAGATAAATCAGAAAGGGACCCCCTCATCCCTCACTCACCCTCATCCATCATCCATCACCCATCACTCCATAAATCAAAAGGTGAAGATGAAAGACAACAGACGAAAAGTAAAAATAAAGAGGGGGAAGGAAAAAAAAAAAAATCAAACCCTCCCCCCCTCAACCCTATCCAAAACGCCCTCCCAAACACCCCTCAAAACCTCCATCTCCCTCCAACACCTCCTCCCCAACTCCACAAACTCCTCCTTCTCCTCGCTTCCCAAATCCGCATCGCCCCTCTTCCGCCTCCTCAGCCGATCCTCCTCAACAACAGGCTTCCCAACAACACCCCCATGCCCCCACCCGTCCACCTCAGTCGACACAGCAGCGTTCACGCCGGCCCGCGAGCACGACGAGCCCCATTTCACGCGCGAGCCGCCGTGCGCGCGGTAGGGCGCTTCGCTGTCGTCGAGGACAGACTGCGCTGCGAGCGCGAGGAAGACGGGCGCGCAGGCGCCCATGTAGGGGGTCTTGTTGTGCCAGGGGGAGCCGAGCATGCGGGCTAGCCAGAAGGCGATGAGCATGCTGTAGAAGAGGGGCGGGGAGAGGGGGAGGATGGAGGTGCCGCAGATGCCGGGGTGGGAGAGGTGGGTTGTTGGTTTGGGGGTTTGGGGTTCTTTGGTGGAGGGGGTGGGGTTTGGGGTGGGGGTTGCTGTGGGCGGGGCGGTTTTGGTGGTTGTTGTTGATGACTTTGTGGAGGTTCTTGATGTTGTTGATGGGGTTCTGGTTATGGTGGAGGTGGTGGTGGAGGTGGAGGTGGAGGTACTGGGAGTACTGGTGGAGTAGAAGCTGTTGACCCAGGGAGATGTGGATGGGAGATCAGCGGTGAGGGCTAGGATATCGGTGAGGGCTTTGGACGACTCGTAGGGTGCTGTCGTGCGCAGGCCTTGCAGGTCGTCGATGTTGAAGTGCTTTTTGGAAGCCTCGAGGCTGGATACCCAGATGATGCGGCCGCTGAAAGTAGACGTATCGTCGTTGGAGGCACGCAGGAGCGGCATAACGTTGTGCGCAAGCATGTAGTGTCCGAAGACGTTCGCGCAAAAGACAGACCCCAGCCGGGGTTCCTCTACCTCCCCCTCCACCACTCCGTCCTTCTCGCCTTGTGGAATCTGCGACTCGGTGACCATGCCTGCGGGGGCAACCTTGTACGAAGGCCAAGAGACCTCATGGACAAGGTCCGTGCAAACGCCCCAGATAGCGCGGGGCCAGTCGATGCCCGTCCAGCCGCCAACGCCCGCATTGAGGATGATGGAGTCGAGTTTGGGGAGGGTGCTGTTGAGACGGCGGGAGAGGGCGCGCACGGAGAGCAGGTTCGAAAGGTCGACGTTCTCGGGGAGGAAGGTCACTTGGTCTTTGCGGGGCGCGGGGTTGGCGCGGAGGTGGTCTTGCAGGCGGCGGAGGGTGTCGGTCCCCTTTTTTGTGCTGCGCGTTGTGAAGACCACTGTTAGGGATTTTTGCGCGTTGGCGGGAGAGCTGAGAAATTCGTCGGCTAGCCGACAGCATATGGAGAAGCCGAGGCCACTGTAGGACGGAGATGGATTAGAGTAGGGACGGGAGTTATATCTGTTATCTCAGGAGACAGTACCTGTTGGCGCCGGTGACCAGGATGAAGACCTGGTCGCTGAGGTCTTTCTGAGCTCCTGCGGGTTCCATAATAATCCAATTGCAGAGCACAGCCCTTGACGGATCCTTGACTGGTAGTGGAGCAGAGAAAATTCAATGGATGGTCGTAATATGGTCGTGGTGGTGTTTTTTGGTGTTGATGTTGATGTTGACCATTATCGTGAATTATGTAAGCATATCATGTGACAGGCACGATCGAGATCAAGATCAAGATTCATACTACATCGAGTCAATCAGAACTAACTACGGAGTAAGTGATAGGTATGTAAACAATGATATCATCATCTTGCAGAGGTCATGCGACAGCTGGAATAAAGAAACCAGAGGATCTTGACGATCGGACCTGATCCTACACGAGGTCATCGAACCACTCACGAATATCCTGATGTCAGTCACAGATAAACCTAACTAACCAAGGAGCCTCCCCGAACAGACACGTGTGCATGTCCAACTCTGATGGAATATTAAGGTTGCGACACACGGTCTGACAGCAAGCGCTCTGTGTTTCTCCCGTCCCTCCAAACAGGGCGAGTCGAGCCTCGGCGATCAAAACGAACGTTCGGATCGCCTCATCCTGGCGCCTGTCAACAAGCCCGTGAGGGAAGTTCCTCCCAGGGAAAAAATGCAGACCGAATCACCGTCCCAGGATTCATCCCCTCTCCTCGTATTCTCCGAATCTAGCGTGACGCGGAGCCAACCAACGTGCGAGGCCATCGTCTCGACGGACGGTGATGGGAGGGACAACTCGCGGTGGTCGCTTTTTTCTCTCTTTTCTTTTTGCTGCGCTGCGGTTGGCACTTGGGGCCGATTGGTGGCAGGTCCCCAGGGTTGTTGCTGAGAGGGGGCAAAAGCCGACCGACTCGAATGGCTGTTTTGATGCGCCATGCGCTTGCTTACCATGGTTTGTTGACTAGTCGCTCGCAAGTAGTGACTGTTTCTAGACGGGTGGCACGATAGATGGTTGGTTGATGGACCGACACCTCGAGTCGATTGGGCGAGTTGCTTCGATTACCCATGATATAACTATCCTTGGATGATAAACGGATCGAATAGCATCCATTACACCCGGGCGGCCCAGCCCGCCCGGGGAGTGAACTATACTACCTACCCATCGGAGGACGGACATCAAGCGATGGCCATACTCGGCCGAAGGAGTAATATCATATAGGACGAGTGGCGCGAGGCTTTGCCACAAGATGATGACCATGTCGCACAAAAGGCACAAAGAATGACTTTCTGGCGGTGGCCAGTCCGAAACGGGAACATGCTCGACTCGACCTTGACTCCCAGCTCCGCTCCGCTTCAGGATTTCATTTCGCCGGTGGGCATCGCTGACCGGCCGTGATATAACGAAGGGAAGATGGGATATAGGGACATGGGAGGCTCGCAGGGCTTGCCCCTGGCACGCAAGGGAACGGTGACATCGGCCATATTAATTGCTATTTCCATCAATCAGTCTTCAATCGGTCGCGAGGGTTATATATTATCGGATCAGCCAACAGCAAATTCACCGCATGGAGGTTTCGACCGTAGTGTCGCTCTCCAATGAACGGCCGATGCTACTATAATGCAGGCTACAAGGATAATCGCATCCTCGGTCCTTGAATGTTGACTTGACTCCCCGAGTACTCCTCGTACCGTTCCTCGTACCGTTCCTCGGAGAAAGGGTAGAGGAAGAGAAGGGAAAGGCAGACATGAACATGATTCGACTAAAAGCCACCAGTCGTAGCATATGTATTACGTCTTGTCTGATTCATACTATCGGTGTCGTCAGCACCCAGACCGTCGGGTCGAATTGCAATCGCAGAGACTGAAGTGGGGAATGCAGTGCAGACAAAGAAAATTTTAAATAAAACAGGGAAGACGTCAAAGAAACAAAGAAGGGACAGTTTCGGAGCACCCGCTTACTCTGACAGTGAGGCTCTCAATTCGCTCTCAGATGGCGAGATATACCTCCTCTCCGCTAAGGATCAACGGGACGACCAAACGGACCCCCAAGGCTGAGAAAACGCCATCGAACTTGCGTGGATGCCATTATTAGCAGCGCACCTGTCAGTGAGTTTGTTGGTGCACAAGCCCGTCAGCAAGGAACAACGCCTCCAGAGAGTCGGCGAATCCTGTCAGCTTTCTCTATCGTCATCTGTTACTTACACCGACATTCCTGAGGCGATGCTATTGTCACGTTCACAATGGCCAATATGATACTAGTCGGGATGTACTATCCAGCTTAGCTCGAAAGAAACCAGGAAATTGATAGCAGGGGTCACACTTGTGCTTCTTAATGTTCAGTCAACACCATCACGAGTGCGTTTGGGCCAAGTAGATACGGACCTCCTCAGGCCGTAAAGCCGTCGCCGTCGCCGCAGCCGTAGAGCCATGGGGTACGCACTAGATATGCATCCCATACTTTACTACTATACTACTCCACAGTCGAATACATACTAGTGACCCTGCACAATGCAAGGCGGGTTCTCGTAGCCCCTCCTCCTCCTCTCCTCTCCTCCTCTCCTCCTCCATCCACTCGATAAGAAAACCCGGGTGGCGACTGATCGACCACCGCTCTAGTCCGCCATCGACCCACAAGACACATAGAAAGTATACAGTACAAACAAACCACCAGACCCACGTCGTTTGGCAACAGTTCCAGAGGGGAGGTACAGCAGACAGACAAACGTCGTACCAGGGAAGTCATAAAGTCGTGCAATCTATGCAGACCGGAGATTTTCGACGCGGTAGTCACCGATCACCGGGGTCTTGTCGACATGGTGCTACCTGATTACCTTTGTATTCTACCTATCTACGGGCTCTCCGTCTGCAGGGTGGGAAGTAAAGTAACCCATCTATCCGACGAAGCCTTGTTTCAGATGTCCTTTCGGGGCCGTCATCCTGGTTCGTATATATGCAGGATGAGGGAGGGGTGGGAGGGAGGGAGGAAACGTGAGTTACGTAGTTTGGCGGGTGGGACTGAAGTCATTGCACTTCTCAGGAATGGAATAAAATGAAATAAACTATGATAAAATAAAAGGAGGGAAGTGGAAAGACAAATCATTAAATATCAGATAAATAAGTAATAAAAATAAGCAGATGCAATATTAACACCATATTCCTAATCCAACAATACAGGATCACACTAGGTGAATAACACTATACTAGGTACCTACCTACCCACACATGTGAACCACCACGAATATCGAATCAAAAACTCCGCCAGGGGGAACAAAAGCAATAATGCGCATCATCTGGCCATTCATCCATCCCTCCATCCCTTCCATCAGTACAGATTCAACAAGCTGACAGTGGTTGGTTTCCATCCCTCTAAACAGCACCTGTCCGATAACATGTAATATGATAACCACCCTGAGCCTATCCATCAACTCCGTTTTATCTCTAATCTTTTATTCCAAACCACCCGCGCGAGACAGGTGATGCCCATGAGCAGCAAGCAGGCTCACTAGAATGCGGTCGGGAGTAATCTCCATCGACAAGGTATTGCGGGGTATTCTCAGTCGATCACGAAGCTACCAGTGACTAACTAACTGATTAGGTATCATTCTGATCCACCTTGACCAGGATGGCTGACTAGGGCCTGGCGATAGGATAGAGCGTGACAGACAGGCAGACAGACCCGAGCGAGTCAGTCGTCTTGGATCATAATTCCCATCCAGCCTTGGGGATGATCAGTATGCTTCTTATCGCAGGTTGATACTCTCAGGCAATACAGTATAATACCGTGACGAGATCGCCCGTTAGAGATAGATGGCCGGCGGTAGACACCTAGTCTCCTCCATAGTTAGCAAGTTTGGTCATATTTCCCAGTTTAACCGACTAGTTGTAGGTAAAATCCCGTCATTGTCACTCCCTGGGGATACCTCTCAAGTATGTACTCCGTACATGTACTCCATACACCGTATAGTCTTTAGCCATGGTGGGTGGGGACGGAGACTTTCGATGGGATCCATCCGCAGCTGCGCAATCACGAATCGGCCCTTCCCCCCCTCTTTTGTTGGGTGGCTGCGGAGGGAACAATGGCCGGCGTAGAGCATGAAATCGAACGGGCTAGAGTTTAATGGTCCTTGCTGGGAGGGATGGTTGTTATTGGTAAGTTGGCTGGCATATGATGTTCATCCCTAGTTGGGTTAGTAGTTGTTAGTTGTACTGGATACTTACTTGTTTATTTACTTACTTACTATTTGGTAAGTACAGGCAATACCGATGGACATATGAGAGGGGAAGAGAAGGACGATCCCACAGCAAGTGGATTCCTTCAGCGAATCCGCGATAGATCCTGATCTCGATCGTGTAGATATCCTTCCCTCCATGGTATTAGTCGGGTCTTTTCTTCACTATGCTTGACCAACTGGGATATCCCATACTGCAAACCTACAAGCCAGAATGTAAGTTTCATGTACGACAAGATACAAATTGCCAATATACCTTGGCAACCCCAGTCCCAGCAGCATCACGCTCCAACCAACAACTCAACATCTCAATTATGATTTCTTAGGTCAGCCTTGCCAGAAAGGATTGGGTGGGTAGATTGGTAATAAACTGGAAGGATTGAGCCAAAGTCATCTGCTCCCATCCTTTTTGGACCCATTCTGGCAGCATCTTCTAGTTTTTCTCGAAGATCGGCACGCCGTGCATTAACGACGCCTCTCCTGCATCCTAAACTTCTCTGGCCAACAAACAGCCAAACACCTTTTGACCCCGTGCTGGCCGTGGTTCGCCACGGAGGTGAAGGTTTGCTGAGTAGGTATGCGTATACGATTGTGTGATTGACGGATAGAATGATTCATGATACCCACCCTGTGGCAGAGCACTGGATAGATAGACAACTCTATACCTCAAGACTGTGAGCAGATCCCTCGCGTCCCTAGTCACGTTTGATCATGGAGATTAGGTCCAGTCTGCTTATTCCATCCATCCATTCATCGTCCTTCCCGGGATTTAGTATCCCCCCCATTCACATCTGTCGCTTGGAATATGCATGGGCTGGCTGGACATGCAGGACTAAAACTACCCTGGAGGTC